CCGTTAGCACCTGGGGATAGGCTCCATCTATTGGTGGGGAGCAGCACCTGCTGGAAAACGGGTCCAGCGTCCCTTATGGTTCTGATACAGCTGAGAATTTATCAACAGAAATTTAGGACAGATCCTGCCAGCATTGATTGCCCTGAAGAGCAGGGGATTAACTGAGCAGGGGGGGAGCCTCTTCACCCTGATTACGGCGCCAGATCCTAACTATTGCGCACTGGCTCCCCACCAAAAGTTCAGGAAAAGCAAGAAAATTCAGAAAGTGAAACCAATGAGATGCTGGCTGCCAGCATTGCCTACCGTAGTAACCTCAGCCCTACTCCTCTCAGCTATTTTGCTGCCAGTCCGATGTGCAATTCTAGAGCAAGGACTCCGGGGTGTTTAGTGGAGTGTAGGGCAGTTAGTCTGGACAGTCATGCCAGTGCCACTCAACTTTTTCTTCGGTTCATAACCTTCTACTGACCGTACCATTGCATTCTTACTAGACAGTTGGAAGGGGGGGGAAAGGGATCAGCGAAGTCTCTGGGAGGCTTGAGGGGAATCTCTACACCTATCTTGGCCCACTCATAAAAGATCAGCTTTAAGTCTGTCGGTGTCCCTGCTCCTTGTTGACCCTCGCATGTCTCCCTTGACTCTCCTTTCCCCTCGACCTTCCCGATTCTCCCTTCATTCGGTCCGCCCAGCCAGCTTGTGTTGAAATCTTGTATTTTTTGGGTGATGTCCTTCTGTGTTTGTAGTTGCCGAATATGAGTTCTAACTACTTCCCATTTAGACCGTATTCATGTCTGAATCTGTTGAATCACTTTGTCGGTGAATTCCGACCCTTCAAGTCGCACCCCTTCCATCTCGAAGGTGCAACGCCGTCTCCACAGTGCCCAGATGACCGCCCTTCATCCTAGCTTAAACAGGTTAATAGTAAATTCATCAGGGTGATGCTCTGTTTGTCTACCGGGCCAGGCTTCGCATAACAGCGCCTTCCAGTCCCAAGGCCAGGGTGTGCATGTCTCTAGCTGGTCCCATATTCGGTCCCACCATCTCCACAGCGATAGCGCGCCCGGGCATTGTAAAAATATATGTTCAATTGTTTCAGGGTGTTTTCGGGTCGGGAAGGGGTTCGTGCACAGCTTGCACCAGGGGAGGGCCAGCCCCCTTTGTTCCAGCGTGGTTCGCTCTATCAGCCAATTGTTGGTTGGCAGGCAGCGGTGCTCCAACTGCCATTGGAGCGATGCTATTTTAGCATGCTTTACCTTAGCCAGCCAAAACCATTTTATTGATCTGATATCGTCTTGACTGATGTTTAGGTGGGCTCTCCATCGATCTGCAACCTGATCAAAGAGGTTGGTTTTTGGTCTATCAAAAACTAAAATCAATTTAAACAAAATAATAAACACAAAATATAAAGAAAAGTAGGAATTCTTTTTTATCATTTTTTTTCATGAGATATATGGTCCCTAAGTTCACCTGTATTGTTTTTAGAAACAAATTTCTGATTTTTGCAGGGAAATGGGGTGTTTAAAAAAATGCAGATGCAAATTTTTAAAAGAAATAAACAAAACGAAAGTTTCATTTATTTATTGATTGATTGATTGATTGATTGATTGATTGATCTGATTTAATTGATTGATTGATGGATGGATTGTGTGTGTGTGTGTGTGTGTGTGTGTGTGTGTGTGTGTGTGTG